GGGTTAATAAGTGACAATGAGATAGTGCATGGCAATAGGAGAACACTGCAAACTGCCATATCCTTGTTGCAGAACGGAATACGAACGTTCCATTGTGCGCCGGATCTCAAGTTTAGAGGCGTTTGACAGACGTCCACATAACAGCGAGCCACCAATCCTCCGTAACTGTTTCAGACACAGCCGATGGAAACAAAATACAACACTCTGTAAGCCGACACGGAATACTTGCTGCAACGGCATCCGGACTTTTAAAAAGCAGTAATATGCTAAACCCAACTGCCTGATTTCTCACACCAGCGCCCCCATGAACGTAAACTTGTTCTGAAATCATAATTTCGTCTACACCAATGCATTGCATTCATTTTATTGTATTCATTGTATTCACTGAATTTCTATGCTGCACTCGGAGATAGCGTTATGCTTTAAGTTGTACTTCTGCGAACAAAGGAAACCTACTAGCAGACAATACCTTTTGTCTGTTCTAGGTCAGTCAACCATGAAAGCTGTAAGCGAGTGGACAATGCATAGAAGTCCATGTCTACTGCCGTGGTTTTAATGCGCCAAAAGTAACCAAGTCGTATTTTTTGAAACTTGTCGGCTCTAAGAGTGTCTAGTGTAGCTTAGCGAGAGGATGAGAGAGAAATATTCTTTATTTTGAAGGTAAATATGCAAACTATTCAGCAAAAATGGCTCCCTTCGTGGAGAGCAAGGGATAAGGCAAAGAAAAAGGTCATAGAATACTCAAATTTTAAAGGTTTACACGATATCCACATTCGTTATGACGACAGGTCGGCTTTCAACTTCTGACCTTCCGTCTCTTCACACGCGAGGTAGCGTACTAGGAATGGGAGTATAGAGTTCTGATATGCCGATTTACGGTAAGGCATATGACGGAAGCTTTGGTGCACAGTACGGGAAGACTTCGCAGCCATTAATTCGGAATGGAGAGGGCTAGCGACCTCACTAAGGATGCGAGCAGCAAATTGCCTGACCATTTTACGGTATCGCTGTATTATAATATCAGCTAAAAAACACCGGCAGCTGAAAAGAGCATTCGGAGAATACGTTTAAAATGATCAGGTCTTTTTAAAGTAAAGCTACAAAAATAACTGGAGAGCAGTAAAAAATGAGGGGGAGAATGCAGGCGTATATAAATCGCCAGATTAGGGCTTGTGGTGTGCGATATGAACGCAAACGGCGGATATAATATAAATGTTTACGGACCTTAATAAATAGGCCTTCTATGATATGATTCAATGAGAATTTACATGCCAGGGTTACACAAAGGTACCGGAAAGAGGATACCGCATTGGTCAGAAAGTCTATGGATTCAGGACTGGGAGAGGGTCGCAATCAAAAAGTACATTGGACTGACTTCTGGTCGTTAAGTAGAAAGTCATTTGCTGACGATCATGCTGAGACATGGTCCAGGCCATTTTTCAGTACTTAGAGGTGTATCTGAATTTTAAGAAGAGGGCCAACAACCATATCATCAGCATATGTAACATACAAACATTC